ATCCCTCCACGGATCCATACCTGGGGCCACAACTCATCTTGAATTGCTGAGGACCATCCAATTTTCAAATTCTGTGACAACCTGGGAAAATCAGGACACTGGAGCCTTTGATGACCTGGAGGATTTAGAAAGTATGCAGACTAGCAATTGTTAACTGCTTTTCATGTATACTTGGGGCAGAGAGGGGGAATCCCATATGTGTGGTATATCAGATTGGAATACTATTCAGCCCTGAAAAGGAAACCATACATGCTACAACATGGATGCAATTTGAGGACATTCTCCTAGGCAAGACAAGCCATGCACAAAAAGACAAATCCTGCAGAGCTAAGCAAAGTCCCCAGGGTAGTCAAAATCATCGAGATAGAACGCAGAACCATAGTTGCCGGGGGCCCAGAAAGGGAGGAGTGGAGAGTCATTGTTTAATGGGTGTCTAGCCTCCGTGTGCCAAAACAAAAAGAGCTCTGGGCATGGGTGGCACATACAGCAGGCCCGTTCCAGATACCACTGAACCCGTGCCTACAGATGGTCAGGGTGAACATTTTTATGTTACATGTTATTTTACCACAATAAAAAATTGGGGGGAAAAATAGTACATCAGATACCTTGAGTGTTGTTGCTCAGGGTGAAGCTAAAGAGGTGTTCAAATCCAAGATGCACGTGAAATACCCTGTGGATGGGGAGGCGCTAGAGGAGGAGGCCGGGAGGTCCCTTCTGAGGTACCCCGACCCCTCCCGGTCTCAGCCTGCCCCCCCAACCCCATCCTGCACCCGTCACATGATCTCTGCCCCAGAATGGCCAGTGCACTGCAGTCCCCAGGGCTAACCCCAGGGCTCTGTGGGGCCACACGTGTCCGGCCGTGCCGGGGACTGAAGTCCTGAATCCCAACGTTCACAGACGTCCTGCGCCTGGCTTTGGCTGGGCCCTGCGTCCTCGCCATCAGGGACATGCCTCTGGGAGGGCTCTTCTTAGCACTCTGCACTGAGGAAGGTTCTGGATCTCTAGAGGGCTGGGCAGGAGGGGCCTGGGAAGTGCAGCCAGCTCTGGGCCGAGCTCCTTCCTCGTGGAGGCTGACGGGCCTCCTCCTCTCCTCCTCCTGTCACCTGCTGCCAGCAGACAGGCCTCACTTTGCTGTGACCCTGAACTGCAGAAGCCTGGGCTCCTAGCTGCTCCGGGGACCCCAGAGCTGTGCCCTCCTTCTTGTATGTCTCCATTCCCAAAGCTGCTAGCTGATGGTGACATGGCCACCGGGAGCCAGCTTCTCGCTCTGACAAGGCCCCTTCCCTGGGGCTCTTCCCACTCTGCGCTCTACAGGACGTCCCCTGGGTCTTACACCCAGAAAACCCTCCAAGTTCAAGTCAAGTTGGGCCTTTGCACGGCTTCCCCTGGTTCACGACGTCCTGAGCATCTGACATTCAAGATGGCAATAATTCCATTAAGTCACAGCTAACGTTGACCCAGGGCTTCCTCTCCGCCAGGTGCTACGGCCCAGGTCTTAGGTGCATGATTTTGTATGACACTCCCAACACTCCTCATGGCTCATGCAGATGAAAGTAACTTGCTCCGAGTCTCGGTTTTCCTGGGGAGCAGAAGAAGATGGAACTTGATAGCGAGCAGTGCTTCTTGTACTTGAAAGAGCGCCCACAGCATCCGGGAATCTCACTGAAAAGCAGAGTGGAGCTCATGGGTGGGGCCTGAGACATTAAAGCCGCTGGTCTGCAGACCCGGCTGTGACCCGGGAGGCCTGAGTGCTCCGGAGCCTTACTCCCACACGTGGGGTGGAACTCATGCATCCACTCACGCATCCTTTCTCTGTCACTTGCAGAAGGTGTCCCACTGCAAAGGACACCCGCTATGACACTGAGTGCGAGGTTCCCATCCCGGTCTGCCCTTTCCCCCACAGAAGGCTTCTCTGAGTCTCAGCCACCCAGTCTGTCAAATGAGAATGAAATACACACTGTGTCGCAGGTACAACCAGACACAGCAAGAGTGTGTCGCCAGGCCTAGGACACGGTGGACATTCGACAAATGGCTTATTTGATTACTCGCACAGTCACCCAGTTCAGCTGACATTCCCGTGTGCTTCCCGGTTGGATTCTTTTAGCATTTATTTATTTATCACTTACTTCAGCAACGATTTCCCCGGGCTCTCAGGGTTGCAGGGATGGGTCCCCATTACGCTGGGGACAGAGGAACTGGCGTGAAACACCACGACTTCTAATCCGATCCACCAATGTTAGAAGGAAACTGATCAAGTGATGGGTCCCAGGAATGAGCCCTGGGAGCCTCTTTGGCACCAGGAGGAGCGAGAAGGGGGAGTGGAGGAGAGGGCAAGGGACTGGAACCGGGTAAAATGTCAACAGATCGGGAGCTGCTAATTATCCAGAGAGAACTAAATATTATGCAGGCAATTATCGACAGGCGTCTGAAAGCAGCGCAGGGGAACTTGGTCCCCAGCCCAACTCCGTGTCCTTTTGGAGAAGGGCTGGGAGGCGCATTCAGAGCAGGCTCCTTACCCCCAGGGGGAGCGGGTAGCAGGGGTCCCCCGGCCCCACCAGACCAGCCAATCCAGCAAGGTCCCGGCCGGGCCCACAGTGCTTGGCTTTGAAAGGGGGCTTTATCCACGACTCCAGGCCTGGAGCCCGCGGCCCCTCCCGTCCCCCTCCCTCCCTCCCCCGAGATGTCATCTTTTGAGACGATTTCATGTGGAAGCATCGCTAAGTAAATTCGCTAAATGCCTATTCATCCCCGTCAGATGGGGACTCGGTGAAGCGGTAAATGTGAAAATAGCCCCAGCTCAGGCCTGAAAGGCGCTTTCCGGGGTTGCCAAATGGAGCTGCGGCGGCGCCTGACCCCCGGAGGCAGGGAGGCTTCGCGAGAGGGGGCCCCCCCGGAGCCCTGCCGGCCCCTCAGTCCTCCCACCGAGAGGCCCTGTTTATTATTCCGACCGCCGGGGACCCATTCAGAGGTTAACTTGTCCCGTATTCATCAGGACGACAATAATGAACTGTCGCAGAGAGTGACGAGGGGGTTGGTAAATAGGGGCTGCCGAGGCTGAGACGCAGAGGGGGCCTCTTTGTGGCTGGGAAAGAGACATTGTTGGATTTTTTTTTTTTTTTCAACATGGGTTGATTTAGTGGCCTCTTCTCCCAGGCGCTCCTTCAAGACCCTGTCCTTTGGCCAGCGACAGGTACCCGGGTGCAGGCACCGCGGGGCTCCCCCAGGCGGGCACGGGCGCTGGTTCAGGCCAGGGGCGCAGCGCTCCCTGTGCGGCATCTGGGGTCCTCCTGCGCGTCCCCGTGGGGTGCTCCTGCGCGTCCCCGTGGGGTGCTCCTGCGCGTCCCCCTGGGGTGCTCCTGCGCGTCCCGGGTGCTCCCGCGTCGCCACCGCACAGCCCAGCTCCGCTCTGCGCCCCTGGGACGGAGCCACCTCTGCGCAGACCCGCGGGGCTCTCCTGGCGCCCGAGAACGGTGGCTGGCCATGGGTGTTTATTTCGGTCACGGGATGGGACACCGGCGACAGGCTCATTTCCACTGCGACAGCGCCTAACTGCTCCGCGCCACCCACCCCTGCCGGAATTAGGAGTTGGTCAACACGCGGCGTCCAATGAGAGCGCAGAGGCTCCGAGTGGCGAGACTGCGGAGTCACGGGGAGGGGCAGGAGGGGGCCTGGGCGCACGGAGCGGGGCAGGGTGCACAGTGTGCACGTATGGTGCGCCTACTGTGTGCCCTTCCAAGGCACCCGGTTGTTCACTCCGTGTGTATGGGGGAAGGGCCCACTATGTGCATGTTGAAATCAGCCGCCACCCAGAGAGGCTCAGGAGCTGCTCCCTGGACCCAGCGGGCTGAGCCACACGGCTGGGCTCTCTTTCCAGATCCTTCTGTTTCTGGAGCCTGGGCATCACTTTCTAAAGCGCTGTCAAGCTTCTGCAAAGTCTAGCCTCCGTTCCTTGTTCCTTGTCACCGCCTACACCGCCTCTCCCCGGGTCTGAGACAATGGTTAACCCCTTCCTTCTAAGTAAAACTCGGAGCCCAGAGCCCGCTGATGAAGGGGCTGTCACATCAGCGCCGTTTACCTGTTTGGGTTTATTCAGCGGAAGAGGCGACTGCGTCTCTGGCAGATGGAGACCTGTGTGACTGCCTTTTAAAATACTGTCACAGCTGTATGCACAAGCTGATTAGCTGTGACTACACTGCTGGTGCCGAGACTGATGGCGATAAATTTGGGATAACAATGCCGGGAACCGAGGCATCCGTTTGTACGGCACAGCGGAGGGTTTGAAAGCTCCCTCCTCCCGTAGCCCCGTGGTGACGCGGTCTCCACACCCGTCACCAGGTGTCAGTCCAAACGCAACTCGTGTCCATTCGTTCCTTCATTCATTCAACAAACACTGAAGTAGCTCCTACTGTGCGCCAGCGATAAACAATGACCAGGGGCTATCCTTGAGGTGCTCACCTTGTATGGTTAGCAAGCTCAGAGTATCCAGATGGTGACAGAATGTGAGGGGGGGGAGGGGCGGATGCTACTTGAGGTCAAGTGACCAGAAGAGGCCTCCCTGAAGAGGTGACATTTGGAAAACCTGGTTGAAAAGAGCAGGCAGCACTGGGAAGATAACACGGCCAAATTTCCCAGGGACAGCGAATGCAAAGGTCCTGAGGCCGCCCTGTGTTTGGCACCAGGCTACACACTGATGGTTGCCAAGCCCCCAGGGCTGAGACCTGGAGATCTCTAAAACGTGTCACACGCAATGACGGACTGTCCTCAGGGGTTCCCAGGACAGTGGAGTGCATGGGACAGAGCTGCCCAGACAGGCATTTCAATGCAGGGGTAGGGTTGTCAAGACAGCGCCCTACCAGGCTGGTAATTGGGGAAGGCGGGACGAGCTGGGTGACACACAGCGAGACTGTGGATTCTGTGGCCCAGAAGGGAGCCAAGACCCAAAGTCTCCATAGTCCCCCACACCCGGGGTCCCTGACTTTCCTCTCTGTTTATTTCCACAGGACGAATGACCAGTTGGTGGCATTTCTCTCCCGGTACCGAGATATGAATTTCCTGAAGTCACATGGCCGGGACAATGCAAGGTAGCACATGGTCCCCTCCCCCTGTGCAAAGCAGAAAGGGGAAACCTGATCATTTGGGGGCTTCCTTCGAGGCTGGTCCTGATGTTGAGATAAGTTGAGGCTGGGGGAGGGGGGAGGCCATGTTCATCTTCGGGCAAGATGTGAAGTGGCCCCTCCTGTCAGCCAAGGGACACAGAGAAATGGAAATGTGCCTCCTGTCACAACCCTTTTCTCCCCTAAGCATTCCTGCGTCGTGGTCTCCGATGGCAACCCTTTGAGTAGGGCGGAAGGTTCAGTCCCATTTTGTCCACGGGAAGACTGAGGCCCCAGATCATTCGGTCAATCGGCCAGTTATTCACCAATATTTACCAAGTGCCTACTGTGTGCCAGGCACACACTGTGCTAGCCCTGAAGGAGACCAACAGCTGACTCTCGAGGGATCTACTGTCTGCGGGAGAGAGCCCCGCACCAGCTGGAGCTGAACCCAGAGGTCTGACTCCCAGCCCCATGTCCTCTCCGCTGCCTTCCGCTGCTGCTACCCAAGACGTCAGCAGGGATTGGAGGCACCAGAGCCCCAACCTGGATCCCTTACCCCCTCTCTCAGTTAAAAGGAGCAATGTCCAAAAGACAGCTCTGTGTGGCAGACCAGCTAGAACTGACACAGTCTTGAGCGCCCCCTGTAGGAGAAATCTGAGTTCTGCCGTTGAACTCATCATACCTGGCAAGTCAGGGTCCTGGTAGCTTGTTAATTGGCTGTTTGACCCTTTTGGTGTTTCCGTTTGCTTTGTTTTAATTCAGGTGTTTCATTTGAAAATTTACAGCGCTATTTAGAGACCGCCATATAGCCAGGCAGGGGATGCACGCCTGTAATCCCAGAGACAGGGGAGGCCGAGGCAGGAGGATCATGGGTTTGAGGCCAGCCACAGTCATTTAAGGAGGGCCTAAGAAACTCAGCAAGACCCCGTTTCAAAATTAAAAAATAATAAGAAAAAGAGAAAAAAAAAAAAGAAAGACATCAAAATTTCCCATGAAGATCCAGATTTCCAGCTAGTCTTGAAGACCCCGAAGGTCCCTAACACTGTGCCTGAATTTTCTCAGGTAGGTGTTCCTGAGATCTAGACGAGGCCCATCCTCATCAAACCACCACGGTCCCCACCTGTCTCCCTGCCCAGCCTGGCCCTGCAAGGCCGCCATCTCTGCTTCAGATCTGCTCCTGCTAGTGCGGCATCGTTTGGCTGGTCCTGTGACTCAGTTTACCTGGTTATCCCAAGGGCGGGATGAAAGTGAGCAATGACCTCCATGCCCCACGGCGGCAGGACATTGTTCCAAACTCCTGCGCTGTCTCCTTGTCCTCGGCGTGAACTTCGATCGCATTCGGCCCACCGTGTGCCCCTTCTCCCTGGCTGCTCATCCCTGCCTCCAGAGCCCCCAGACTCAAAGGTGCTCCGTCGGCCTCTAGCTTACAGGTCCCTAGCTGCTCAGGCCACTGGGGTGGAGAGGCAGGCACAGAATGATAGCCACTGTGTCCGGTGTGCCGACTAGGCTCCCTCACTCTGGGCCCCTTCACCCATTCATTCCTGATTTCATTCTAGGCCACGGTGAGAGTCATCACCCTCACTGTCAGGAAATGAAGGGGGAGCTCTGGGAGCTGACAGGATCGTCCCTAAGGTCACCCGGCTGGTTGAAGGATAGAATGTGAACCCAGGTCTTTCTGGTCCAAAGGTAGAGCGAGGGGCCGTTCCACAGAGGAGGGCGGTTACAGAAGTAGCCCCAGAACTGGTGTCCCCTCCCTTAGGTACAGAACGAAAACCCTTCCTCCTGTCCATGCAGCTTGGGGTGCACAGTCCGGGCCAATGAAGTAGCCTCGTGGGCAGGAGCCCATTCTAAGTTGACCAATTCGTGTCTAAATTACATCCCCCCTGATACTGTTGCTGTGGCCCAGTTGGTATTCATTCCCTGTGAGCACTGTCTGCCAGCTCCTCTGCTAGGAACTGGGTTAAAATCACAGGCTTTAAGGTTCCCCTTTCTGTGTTGGGAATCTGATCCAGTATGTCCTCGCTGTGTTGCACTGGACAAGTGACTTAACCTGTCTGAACCTGTTCCCTTACCTGGAAAGAGAATATCCATAGGCCTATACCTATAGGGTTGGGGAGACTAAGTGAGATGTGGCCTGCAAAGCATTTGGCACAGTAAATACCAATGATGATGATGGTGGTGATGGTGGTGATGATGGTGGTGATAATGGTGATGGCAGTAATGGTGGTGGTGATGATGATGGTGATGATAATGGTGGTGATGGTGGTGATGGTGATGATAATGGTGGTGATGGTGGTGATGGTGATGATAATGGTGGTGATGGTGGTGATGGTGGTGATGGTGATGATAATGGTGGTGATGGTGGTGATGGTGGTGATGGTGGTGATGGTGATGATAATGGTG